TTTGACAAGTATTGTCCGTTCACAACACAGTTGTGTAGAGTATGATTTTCTTTTCGCCAGTGCACTTCATTTTTAACTTTTTATTTGTTGTTTTTATTTGATATCCTGCTGGCCTGTAGCCTTCTATTTTATACTGTAGATCTCATTTGTTAATTGAACATGTGATTTTGTTGTTTGTCTTGTTGTCCATTGTCTCATTGTATTCTAACCCCTATCCCTTTAATTCCTTGCATGTCTAACATATTTTGGCAATAAACGTTCCTGACTCCTGATTAATTACGCAGCATCCCTGCGTATTCATGTATCTGCAGATAGCGTATTTGAGCTTCATGTAGCATTTTTTTTCACTTTAAATGTCACAGTTTTATGTGAATATGAGTATGAATATAATCTGTGACTGTGGTGGAGTTATTCACCTGTAGCGAGACAGCACAGGTAGAAAAATGAGAAACTGAGCTAGTAGTACTCTGCATTAGTAAGCACTCATACTGCTATAGTGAATACTTGTCAGGTAATAGTATTATAGAAGTATTCCTGCTGCAGCAGCAACAACTCATGCTGAAGTAGTAGTACTCTCACTGCTGAAGTTAGTACATTTGAGTATAATAAAGTACATGCATCAATAAGAATACCGTTGTACATGTATATATGTTTACATTGATATGTGAGTGAGTACACTACAGTACAGTACATGTTTACAATATATACATGGTATACTACAGTACATGTACGTATCAGTATTCTGCAGTATATTTGTATTACATGTACACATAATATAGTACATGTGCATTTGAGTATACTACAATACACTCGTATTATATACACACAAATACTTTAATTTAAATACTTTAATGATACTGTGTACTGTTTCAGCCCCCTGAATGACACATCTGTTCACATCTGCCTGTTACTGACCGGTACTACTGTTACCACGACAACAAGCTCCAACAACACACACTCAGTCAGGAGGAAGTGATGTCATAATATGACGTCTCGCCCTGCTGGCAGAACTACAGCACAGAATGACCGTTTAATGTACTTTAATGTGATTTTATACTGTTGTTCAAAGTACTTCACTACATCATAGAGAGATGTATCCAAGTACTTTAAGTCTGTAAAGGTACCTGACTCTCCTTAGGTCACATTACATCACATTACAGGTCATTTAGCTGACGCTTTTATCCAAAGCGACTTACATTACACTACATTTTTTAACCCTTGGCTTTTTGCCCGGGGAGCAATTAGGAGTTATGTGCCTTGCTCAGGGACACTTTGACATGGGACAGCCGGGGCTCGAACCACCAACAAGTTGATCCAATGGAACTCACTAGATCAATAATATTGATAATACAATAATAACATGACATCACTTGTCATTTATCTGACGCTTTTATCCAAAGCGACTTACAACAAGAACATTTCAACCATCAGGACACAAAGTCAGAAGAACAAGAAACAAGAAAGTGTGATTTCATCAAATAAGCCGTTTTACAACTCGCTGTAGATAAGAACCATTATAAGTCCAATGTAAGTGCTACAGTTAGTGTGTTAGTGGAGGTAGAGTCTGAAGAGGTGTGTCTTTAGGTGAAGATGTGAAGGCTCTCTGTGGTCCTGATGTCTTCAGAGACCTCCTTCCACCATTTAGGAGCAGGACAGCAAAGAGTGGAGATCTAGTCGAGTGTTTTGCTCTCAGTGAGGAGGAACAAGCAGTTTATCACATGCAGAGCGGAGAGTGCGGGTCGGGATGTCGGGTTGGACCAGGTCCTGGATGGAAGCTGGACCCCATCCATTCACAGCATGGTACGTGAGCACCATGGTTAGAACTGGATGAGCCACCGGTACCAGTGAAGAGAGCGGAGGAGTGGAGGAGTGCGAGTGCGAATGACAGCGCAGAGAGAGTTGGTGTAGAGCGAGAAGAGGAGGGGACCCAGGACGGAACCCTGAGGAACTCCAGTGGTAAGAGGACGAGGTTCCGACACAGATCCTCTCCAAGTTACCCGGTAGGTGCGTCCGTCGAGGTAGGACGAGAGAAGGGAGAGAGCAGAGCCTGTGACACCAAGTTCCTGAAGGGAGGAGATAAGGATCTGGTGGTTGACTGTGTCAAATGCAGCAGAGAGGTCCAGAAGGACGAGGACAGAGGACAGAGAGGAGCTCTAGCAGTGTGGAGTTGCTCTGAGACAGCAAGGAGAGCAGTCTCTGTGGAACGGCCTTGAAGCCTGACTGGTGGGGGTCAAGGAGGTTGTTACGGTGGAGATAGCAGGAGAGTTGGTTAAAGATCACACGTTCAAGAGTTTTGGACAAAAAGGGAAGAAGAGAGACCGTCTGTAGCTGTTTTCTTCAGAAGGGTTGAGGGTGGGTTTCTTCAGGAGAGGGTTGACTCTTGCCTCCTTCAGAGAAAACAGCCAGATAACAGAGCGTTGTTGATGAGACAGGTGAGGAAAGGAAGAAGGTCAGGAGCGATAGATTGTAGAAGATGTGATGGAATGGGGTCAAGAGGGCAGGTGGTGGACGGGCAGAGGTTACTAGGGTAAGAACTTTGTTAGGAAACGGGGGGTGAAGGAGGGAAGTGAGGACGATAGAGGTGAAGTCAGTGGGACACGAGTAGGAGGAGGTGGGTTTGAGAAGGAGGAGCGTATGTCAGCTATTTTCTTGGTAAAGTAGTTGACAAAGTCTCCTGGAAGAAGGGAGGAGGGAGGAGGAGGACTAGGGGGTTCAAGGAGGTTGGAGAAGATCGAAAAGAGTTTTTTGGGGTTAGAAAATGAAGATTGGATTCTGGATTGGTAGAAAGAGCTTTTGGCAGCAGAGACAGAAGCAGAAAAAGAGGAGAGAAGAGATTGAAACACAAGCAGGTCATCAGGTCGTTTATATTTACATCGTCTCCTCTCCGATGCTCGCATGGTGGCTCTCATCGCCAAGGAGTCAGTAGAAGGGAGAGCTGATAGAACAGAGGAGGAGAGAGGAGGAGAGAGGAGGAGAGAGGGAGCAAACAGGTACAGAGTCAGTTGATGGGTCGTTAGTTACAGAGAGTAAGGAATCAGGAATCAGGAATCAGGAAACATTTATTAGCCAAAATATGTCAAACATACAAGGAATTTGTCTTGGCGGTTAGTGCGCGACAGTAGACAGACAAGACAACAGTGCACAAGTAATAAAATAAAGTGGAATGAAATGCTAATGCAATGGGTTAGTAGAATAAGGCTATGGGTTAGTATAAAACAAGAGAATAAAGTTAAAAAATGTTAAATATTAAAAAAGTTAAAAAGAAAAATATTAAGCATAAAGTGCACTAACAAACAAGTAACAGAAAAGAGACAAAGTGACAAGTGACAAGTGATGAATTGCATTTAAAGTGTCATGTGCAGTATGAGGGGGAGTGACCGGTGGAATGTCAGAGTCAGTCAGTGGGGGACCGGCTCTGTTGATGAGCCCGACTGCCGACGGGAAGAAACTGTTCGTGTGGCGGGAGGTCTTGGTCCTGATGGACCTCAGCCTCCTGCCAGATGGAAGGGGCACAAACAGGTTTTGTCCGGGGTGAGAGGGGTCGGCTACCATCTTTTTAGCTGCTTCAGAGACCTGGAAGCGAACAAGTCCTGCAGGGACGGCAGATTGCAGCCGATCAGCCTCTCTGCAGAGCGGAGGACACGCTGCAGCCTGCCCTTGTCCTTGGCTGTGGCTGCAGCGTACCAGACGATGATGGAGGAGCAGAGGATGGACTCCATGATGGCCGTGTAGAAGTGGACTGTAAGACTGTAAGAGATGAAGAAGTGGTCAGACACATGAAGTGGAGTCACAGAGATGTTGGTGGTGGAGCAGTTTCTAGTGAAGATGTAGTCGAGGTGATTGACGGCTCTGTGAGGAGGAGGAGAGGGACTGAGTAACAGAGCGAAGGAAGAAAGTAGGAGTAGGAGGTCAGATGACTTCTTAATATACAGTAACCCCTCGTTTATCGCGGGGGTTACGTTCCGAAAATGACCCGCGATAAGTGAAATCCGCGAAATAGAAAACTTTTTTTTTTTTTACAATTAGCAACTATTACATGTATACAAATACAGTGACTCACGTGTAGGCCGTTTCACTGCTCTTCAGACTGGGCCGCTGCATCCTGACTGCGCTCTGCAGTGTTCTCTTCTTCTGAAGCCCGCGGTGCAGGTGTGTTTGTTCGGGAGAAGAACATAGTGATAGGCAGCTGTTGTCGCTCTTTTTTCTTCTTTGCAAAAAGATCCTTGTACACCGACATGCCACCATCGATTACGTTGGAGAACTGTAATGAACGGCTCGGGAGTGAGTTTTTAGCGAATCAGAATGCAGAGCACAATGCACCAAAAAAAAAAAAAATGCATTATGAAAATCCGCGAAATAGCGAATCCGCGATAAGTGAACCGCGAAGTGGCGAGGGATCACTGTAATAACACAACTAAATAATAGTAATTGTAATCAAATGAATGTCCCAATCTTCAGTTGGAGGAAATCAAATATAAGTAAACAAATATTACATGTATTTGATTTAATTAATTTTATTTTAACTTGTAGTTTGTTTGATTCTTATGCGATCTATATTTTATGATGTAATAACAATAGACTCATAAAAGAAAATAACATATAATTTTAATCAATGAAAAAAACAGCTCCTGGCCAATCAGAGAGCAGTATGTTATGTCTCTGTGATGTAATAATATAACTTACGTACATTTAACAGACAATACTTCAGTATCTATAATTCTGTTTGTACCCAATAATACTACAGTATTTATGATACATTACTTATATTTACATGATAATACTACAGGATTTATAATATATTATGTACATTTACCTGATAGTACTACCGTTTTTATAATACAATGTGTACATTTGCTGATAATACTACAGTATTTATAATATGTTATATACATTAAAAAGCCTGATTATTCAGTTTTTACTGAACATTAACCTTTCATGTGTCAACGTAGTATTTGTACCTCAAAGTGTGTGTATTAGTATCTGTGAGTTGGCTTCTTTTCCTTTAAGAGAATTCACCTCACCTGGACACACCTGAGCTCAACTTCCGGAGAGCCGCAGCAAAGGACCGGAAACAACAACAGGAGAAGATCACTTCGTCACGGTGAGCTTAGTTTTCTGTTTCATTGTTAGCTTCTTACTTTGTGTTAGCTTGCTACTTTGTGTTAGCTTCTTACTTTGTGTTAGCTTGCTACTTTGTGTTAGCTTGCTACTTTGTGTTAGCTTGCTACTTTGGGTTAGCTTGCTCTTTGGGTTAGCTTGCTATTTTGCTTCTCTAAAAGTGAGATTATTGATCAGTGAGGCCCGGCCGCCTGCTGATTATCGAGTTATTATCTATATGTGAAAGTATCTACCATGAATCGGTCACTATGTGTTGATTTCGGTGACTTTTAATCTGTTTACGTCACGGCTGCCATGTTGTCAGAAGGGGGCGGGGTTAGCTAGGGTGACCTGATTTGAGTTTGTGAAAAAGAGACACTTCGTCGCGCGGGGGAGGGGGCGTGGCGGAGGGAGGGGGCGTGACCGAGGTGGGGGGGTGTACAGCATGCCTCACCATGACCGTGTGAATGCGTACAGATGTCACATATGACACTAATGACTATATGAACATCTATTTATTGAACTTTAACAAAACTTCAAAGTGCAAATGTAAAACAACACTTTTGTGGCATTTAGTCCAGCGCTTCTTTAAATCAGGAATCAGGAAACATTTATTAGCCAAAATATGTCAAACATACAAGGAATTTGTCTTGGCGGTTAGTGCGCGACAGTAGACAGACAAGACAACAGTGCACAAGTAATAAAATAAAGTGGAATGAAATGCTAATGCAATGTGTTAGTAGAATAAGGCTATGGGTTAGTATAAAACAAGAGAATAAAGTTAAAAAATGTTAAATATTAAAAAGTAAAAAAGAAAAATATTAAGCATAAAGTGCACTAACAAACAAGTAACAGACAAGAGACAAAGTGATGAATGACAGTTATAGTGACATGTGCAGTATGAAGGGAGTGACCGGTGGAGTGTTATAGTCAGGCAGTGGGGGACCGGCTCTGTTGAGGAGCCCGACTGCCGACGGGAAGAAGCTGTTGGTGTGGCGGGAGGTCTTAGTCCTGATGGACCTCAGCCTCCTGCCACATGGAAGGGACACAAACGGGTTCTGTCCGGGGTGGACAAGTGCGGGGTGTAATGTGTCTTGTCCATATATTGAAGCAATAATGATAACACATACAACATTCTAAATAATAAATGGTTTATATGGCCACTTATTAAAATAAGAAAATGAAGACACTTTTCTGTCCTCGTGTGGTTGGGCATATTTCTCTAAGACTGAAGAGTCGGCGATTACCTATCGAACTGTCAGGGCGTAATGACCAGTTTGTGAAAGACCCAGAAAAACACAAATATCCCACGAAGCAAAATCCCGGATGTTTTTGGAATCCCTGCCGGACACATTCAAAAAGAGGACATGTCGGTGGAAAAGAGGACGTCTGGTCCCCCTACGTTATCACTACTCCCCTTCGGATCAATGTGTCAATATAAACGTTCTAAATAAGAGAATGTGATTAGAGATCAATAAAGTGATGTGATCACTGTTCTCTCTGGCAGACAGGCATGTCTCTGCTGACTGAAGATGCCCAGTGCCCAACAGGAAGTACCAAGATGCAGGACAGTGGGGGGCTGGAGGAGGAGGAGGGGGGGGTGAGGTCGGCTTTGGTGGAGCCTGACACCCTGCAGTGGCCCGGGAGCAGACCCACAGGTAAAGGTGACCAGAGGAGGTCTGCAAGTTGGACAGAAAGTGAGAGAGGGCTGATGGCAGAGGGAGAGAGGAGGGGTGGTCAGAGGGGAGAGGAGGGGGCGGAGCCTGGAGGGAACCACCTGCCAGAGAAAGCTGCTCAGGTGTTCAGTCCCGCGGTCACCGTCCTTCACTCCCCGTCCTCGCCCAGAGGCAGCGAGGCGCTCTGGGAGATGGAGTCTGAGAAGAGCCCCTTCCTGGATTCCCAAGGGGTCGCTCAGGACTACAACCAACATGGCTACCGGTACGAGTGGACCGAGGACACGCCCCCTGGCACGTGTAGGTATACCTGGCTGTTTCTCAATACCTAGAACGGGTCGGAGGACGGTCTGACTGACCTGATGATGTGTGTGTGTGTGTGTGTGTGTGTGTGTGTGTGTGTGTGTGTGTGTATAATATGTGTGTATAACTCACATATATTTATGTCCAGTCCGTAATGTTTCTGATGAAGATGATGAGGAGCAGCTGTAGTTTGTGGTGCTGCTGAACTTTAGATGTTAAAAGCACAAACACACATATATATGTATGTATACATACGTATGTATGTATACATACATACATACACATCTCCACAAAGTCTCCGCGGGCTGAGATGAGATGACGCCCAGCGGGGAGTCAGACGGACCCGTATTCTCAAGTTAAATGTTAAGAAGGTTCAATGTTGACAAACCGACCACAGAAATGTTGATTAAACTTCTCATCTGAAAAAGTACTAAAGCTCACGTTGTGACTTGATTATTTATAACTAACCCACCGTAACAATTGTTGCCTGTGTGTCTGTCTCAGGTGGGCGGGGCTGTCCCAGCCGGGACATCCTGAAGGTGGGCGTGTCCCTGATCACCTCAGCGCTCTTCTTCCCCCTCCTGGTGTGGGGGGGGTTTGTCTTCCTGCCGTTTGACGCCCCGCTGCTGGACGGCGCCCCCCCCCGGCTCGTCTACACGCTGCGCTGCTCGGTGTTCGCCGCCGCCCCCATCGTCCTCGGTAACTATGGCACCATAGACGGAGAAGCTCCTGGCTGAACCCGTCTCCACGGTAACCATGTCGCTCCCCACAGGTTGGCTGGTGCTTGGTGTCAGCCGCCTCCGGTCGGGGGAGCTCCGCCCCTTGTTCCATGACGAGGGCAAGGAGGCGGAGCTCCACGAAGTCACCGTCCATCAGCGCTTCGTTTCTGACTCCGCGTCCTTGTTCCTGATCTACTTTCTGCAGCTGGTCGTCATGGCGATGTACTTGACACAAGACCAGCTGAAGCTCATCCCGCTGTTGACCATTGTCTTCGCCCTCGGCCGGTGAGATTCACACATAACTTTATTTACTCATTCAGGTTACGTTCAGAGAAGGGTGCGCTTGGTTTATACATTGAACTAAAGGTGCGCTTGTTTTGTGTCTCTAGGCTGGTTTACTGGGTGGCCGCAGCGTTCAGCAGCAGCATCCGGGGCTTCGGCTTCGGCCTCTCCTTCCTGCCAAGTCTCGCCATGATGGCCGCCAACTTCTACTTCATCTTTTCTGTGGAGGCGTCCGGCTCCGTCTTCGTCCTCCCGTCTCCTGCCGAGCTGCTGCCGACTCCACCCGCCGGCAGACAGAGGTTCTGGGGATGAGATCAGCTGATCGACTCGCTTCAGTCCAGTAGTTAAAACACAAACAAACTTTGAAACAGAAGAAAAAAGTTCTATGAAATGTCTGCAGACAAAAGATTTGTCAAATCTTTTCACTGATATTACAAATTTAAGGCTCAATAAAAAAAGTTTTATTCTTCACAATAAAAGTATTTAATCCACTTTTAGAATCCAGATGAACTTTATATACAATGTACACATTCTACACAGTACAGTATGTATTGGTGTATATATCATAAATACGTGTTCACCCCTTCACTGACTTTTTCCATTGTTTTGTTAAACTGCGACTCAAGTTAACTGTTTCCTCATTGGATCGACGCTACATGCAAAGAACTCTGAAGCTGCTCAACTTTTATTGTGACACAAACAATGTGAACCAAAAAATAGAGATCAGGACCCGGTTCCTCGTACGTGGTTCAACTAAGTCCATCAAATGTCCCGTTACCCAGCTCAGGTTACCGAGATGATTGACATCAGACTGTCTCGGTTCCTCGAAGGCGGATCGGCGCTCAAACGTCTCGTTAGTTTGAACCAGATGTCAATCATCAGGATAATCGTCTTACGTCAGAACTTGAAGGAAGAGCAGGAGATGATCATGAACACATGAGCAGATAACATGTTCATTTGAATCATTTCTGTCGGATGAATTTAACGTATTATTCATATTTGACGTTGTTCATTCTGTCCGTCCCTGGAGGACCGTCCTGTGTCTCTAAAGGTTTCTTCCCTTTATTCTCCCCATCAAACACTTTCTCATTGTTTGGGGAGTTTTTCCTGTCGATGTGAGTGTTTCTGCACAGACGTCATATGTGTTCACACTGTAGAGACACATGAGGCAGATTTGTGATACAAAATGACATGAATCCTATGATGATGTTAAAGACTGACAGCGCCCCCTGGAGGCTACAAGCCCCACAAAGTATCACACAAGGTAACGTTACGCGTGTCGGTAAAATGTGACGCTCATTTAAGGGCCTCGTCACTCTAATCAATCACATTATATTTAAATGTGTCTGCTGGCAGGAGGCTTCATGTGTCTGACACTGCGAGACATGAGACCGTATAGAGACAGTCTGTGGGACAGTGTGTGAGACCGTATAGAGACAGTCCGTGGGACAGTGTGTGAGACCGTATAGAGACAGTCCGTGGGGACAGTGTGTGAGACATGAGA